AGAACAGGAAAAGCAAAATGGCATTAGGATCTTTAAAGGACTTGTGTACTGACTTTTGACTGACAACCCACCTGGAGGCACAGAGGGTACTATGGCAGAAAGGGGAACGCAACGCAGAAGTGTACCAAGAGAAAGATGCTACTGAGGAGGAACTGGCTAACCCAACCAGTGTCAGAAACCTGAATTTCAGTCCCTAGAATGCTGTTAGTTGTAATCAGACATTAACTATCCTTAGGTCTGAAACATCCTCAGGACATAACTGATCTAGTTCCTGTGCAAATAATAGACCTTAATATGGCAAATGACCACCTTGTTTCTGAGATTAATTGGACCTCATTTGATATTAAAATATCATGGAGAGATTATAGATAGTACAAGGCAAGGTCAATCTAGTTCAGCATTCTGACTCTGACAGTAAGTAGTAGTGCATAGTAGGGAAAGAAAGAAAGGCACATAGGGCAAGAGCACTGGTATTTCTCTAAAACTCCCAGCCTCTGGCAGAGTCTCTACTGATAGCGCCTACCTATAGAAATGTATAGATAGGGGCTCCTTGGGGTAAGAATTCATCAGAACTGATCCTCTATCATGAAACCTCACTTGTGACAAATTAGCACTTTAAAAATGTCTGCAAATTTCTGACTGATTCTAGTAATGATTAATGAGGATTTCATGAGGTGAGATTAAAAGGGAGAAAGAAAAGGCTTGCTCCACATGCTGCCTGCTATTATAAAAGGCAGCGGAGTATTTAAAGAATGATATTCTCTTTCAAAGTAATGGTGTGTTGAATGTGGAACTCTGAAGGCAATATTAATTGAGGGTAGACGGGTTAAGGACATACAGAAGAAACCAGAAGATGCTGTGATGGTTAGATGTAGGGTAAAGCATGAGAACAGCAGTCAGGACAGGACAGACAAGGCTGTAAGAGAGCAGAACTAGGAAAATGCCTGGGTCCTCTTGCAGCATAGGTGTATGGAAAAGTTGAAAGCCCAGGTGGGGTGGGATCCCCAAGACGCTATGTCCAGCCCCCCCTGAAAGCCTGCTCTTGTTTTTTGCCACCCCTTTGTCACTGCTCTTGACAAACAGGAGGAGGAGAGGGATTTGGACAGATGAGGAAAGCACATTAGGGATGAGGAGAGTAACTAAATTCTAAAGGAGCACAAATGAAAGTGGAGGAAAAGATGGTAACTGATCTGTTCAAGGGCCAAGTCCCAGAGGGAGGATCCCAAATTGCTTTTAAGAGAGGAGACTGGTTTGAAGAGAAAAGATTTCTTGTAAGTTAGAAAACAACACAGGAGGAAAATGTTATATGATGGATAAATAAAGTGCATAGAATTATATCTGTTATGTATGGGTAGATGGTAGATGTCACTTTCCATTTAAATGGAAATGTTTTTTGTTGGGTTTTTTTGTTTTGTTTTGGGTTTTTTTTTTAACCAAAGAAAAGCCAGGTTTAATGCAGGAGTCCTTTCCTTGTGATTATCAGAAATTATGTTTTTCCTATGTCCATCATTATCATACAAGTGGCGGTTTTGCAAACAGAAGTGGCTTCCTCTAGCACTTTCTTATTTCAGAAGATTGCGTTACCAAGCACTCATTTTTATGATATGGCTGGTATCTATCTGCATAATCTAGGAAAAGCTGAGTTAAAGGGTCTACTATCTGAATTGAGAGTACAGTAAATCATCTCAACTTACTTTTCCCCTTCAAAGTATGAATAGGTTAGAAGCAAACTTTTGAAACATAGGACTCAAAAAGGACAGGGGAGCTATATTAGTTTTTCCCAGAAGCAAATGTGGAAGAAATATGTACTTAGACATTTTTTTACACTCAAAAGCAGTCATTAAGGTTATACATCTGTTTCATTTACGTGTGTTTTTTATGTACTCATACACAGCTGAATTGCCTGACACCTGAAAAGCAACTGGGGTTTCTCACTTCTATAACAATAGGTAACATAACTGTAGTTTGAAAACACAGTCCTACTATGCTTGCTTGGCAGTGCAATTAAAGTGTGTGGTTAGATAGTAAGTACTCTTACTACTACGGCATGAATTAATCTCCTTTAAAAAAATATGTTCAGCTTTCTAAGTGGCTTAATAAAGAGAGAGCCTTAGTAACTGAAGAAGAAAAACAAAACAAAATCTCAGGTTGGTGGTATTAAAGTTGAGAAAAAAGTATGATTCTTAGTTTATGTACTTGTGTCTTTATATACAGGCTGGAATGCTTTAGAGTAAGTAAGCAATCCCTTGATGTGCCTCAAAGCAGTTAGCTGTTTTGTTTCTCCATGGTAACAGGAGTATAAAGCAGTACGAGTGTGTTACTGAAGTAGGCAGACATGACATTGTTTAGGGATGGGATTACATGTGATGACTGCAGTTCTAGGGTGAGTCTGAACAAGGGCATTTTCTAACACAGAGGCAGTGTGAATGTGTGCAGATGTGCCACTCTAAGGCAAGGCTTGGGGATTCAAAACTGGCTTAAAAGGATCTATCAATCTATAAAGTTTGCAGTGGTGGGAGGGATTATCATACATAGGTCAATGAAGCTGTTCCAGAAACATGGCTCAACATGTAAAGAGGCCTGTGACAGATCAAGACCTAAACGCAGGACTCTGTCTGAGGTTCAGATATAATGGCAGCCATGAAGACTTAATGATGTATTTTTTGTTTAGTATTTTTTGACACTGAAAAAAAGCACATGAAGATTGGACAGGGAGATGACATCTGAATTAACACAGAGTTATCTGTAAACTTCAGTCGGTAATCCTGCAATATTAACTAGGTGAACCCTGTTTACTTTTGTTCCCACCTTGGCAGAACAGTATGTCTTGAGAGTATTTCAGCAGACCAGCTAAGATGGCTCTTTTGTGAAGAAACCGGCAAAAGTAATCACAGAATGGTTTGGATTAGAAGGGACCTTAAAGATCATTCAGTTCCAACCCTCCTGCCATGTGCAGAGACACCTTCCACTAGACCAGGTTCACCCATACCCCCATCCAACCTGGCCTTGAACACTGCCAGGGATGGGGCAGCCACAGTTTCTCTGGGCAACCTGTGCAGGTGTCTCACCACCCTTGTCGTAAAGAATTTCTTCCTAATGTCTAATCTAAATGCCCCTCTTTCAGTTTTAAACCATTCTCCCTTGTCCTATCACTATCTGCCCTTGTAAAAAGTCCCTGTTGCAGCCCCCTTTAGGTATTGGAAGACTGTAATGAGGTCTCCCCTGAGTCTTCCCTTCTCCAGCCAATGATTTATATTGGTGCAGCTTGATCATGCACTGACCTCTCCCTAGCACTGATGCACTCTTATCCTTTCTTTTCCCTATTGAGATGACTCTGACCTACTAGACTGAGATAAAATCTACTAGCTTGCATTTATAGTAAGGGAAAGGTTCTGGCAACCTTTTTCTCATCTGTACATATTACACGAGGGATTGCTCCCTGTCTCTGTTCCAACAAGCTGTTGTGTATCCATGGGTTGAGCTAACCTTGCTGACTGAGTCACGCTTCCTTCAAATGCATCCAGCCTGACTGGGGACAGAGCAGTGTCTGTGTGTGTGCTTGGAAGAGCCTTTTCCTTGTGCAGGTAATACAGGATGACTTCTTTGTCTTTCCTCCTTTCCTCTCAGTGCAGGTAAACATCATTTGTTCTGGTTCAAAAGGCCACGCATCCTGTACCAACACAATGAAACTGTATGCCAACCACACCTTCCCTTCTGTGGCACTCTGTACTGAGCATCTAGTTATTTAGCTTGCTTTTCCTTTTCTGCAAGTGAAAATTCTGCAAGTGAAGCCTCTCAGGCTTCCTAAGGAAGCAGACCTGTAGATTAGTTTTGCTTTTCTGTTCAAGTAAAACTCCATCTGCTATTTGTTCTCAAATAACTTTTGACCAAAATGGAAAAAAATAAAATCAACCACTGTATGACTTAGTGGCTGACGAGAGCCCTGAGCTGATGCTGTGCAGAGGCAAAACGCGCAGCTTTGGTTAGCTCACTCTGCTGAGCTCCAGACTAGTGTTTCATGCCTGGTGGGGAGTTAAATGCACTTGAAAAGCCTTTGTTAGCCCTGTGGCTTTGTCAGCCTTGCCCTGGTCTAGCTAAAGATCAGGTCTATGCGTGCCTCCTAGCACTGCAGCCGTCAAGGAATGGGTATATAGCTCTACTTTTGTTCTTACATAACTGCGTTAACAAGGTTGTACCGGGGCAACTATTTTAAGTAGCAATGTTCGTTTTTGAAGCCTTTATGGAGTGAATTGTGCGGACTATGCCCGCTTCCGGCGCCCGGGAGCGAGGGGACAGGAGGGAAAGGAAGGTGTGGCCCTGCCCGCAAGGCTGCGGCCTGCCAACAGGCCGCGAAGGCTGTTCGGTGGGGCTAGGCCCTTGTTCCGAGTTTAATCCACGCCAGAAGGGCAGCCGGAGGCCTGCCGGGGCGGCACGGTGACTGATTTCCAGTCCCGAGGCGACCGCTTTGCCGAAGCGCTGTGTCGGAGAAGGGGGCAAACCGCGGTGCGTGCCTCGGCGCTTCCCGCTGCCGTCCGCCCGCCCAACATGGCGCAGGTACAGCCGCCGGTAAGGGGCGCCGCGTTCCGACGGAGAGAAAGGCTCTGCGCCCTCGGCCTGGGCCCGGCGGAGCTGCCGTTGCGGGTACCCCGCGCGCGAGAGCTGCAGGCCCAGCACGCGGAGCCACTGCGCCCCGACGGGTATTTACGGTACGGGGCGCGCGCGGGCGGCCGTTACGGTAGTTGGGGGGGGGTAGGGGGAGAAAGGAGGGACTACGTGCGCGGGGGCGGGGCGGGCAGTGCTGCGTGCTCGGCCCCGCGAGGCGCGTCTCCCTCGCGAGCTCGGTGAAAGGATTTGGCGCCAGGCGGGTCCGCTCTGCAGCTGCCGCAGCCGCACGAACCAGCCGCGCCACACACCCACCGCCTCCCGCCGGGGCCGCGACCGCGACCCACAGCCGCCGCCGTCCGACCCACCCCGCCGCCAGCCCTCCCGCCCGCGCGCCGCCCGCCCGGGGATCGAGCCGCCGCCGCCGCCATGAGCTGCTCGCCCGTGAACGTGAAGAAGCTGAAGGTGTCGGAGCTGAAGGAGGAGCTGAAAAAGCGGCGCCTCTCCGACAAGGGCCTCAAGGCCGAGCTCATGGAGCGGCTCCAGGCCGCGCTAGACCAGGAGGAGGCCGGCGGGGGAGGCCCCGCCAGCGGCGCAGTTGAGCCTGGCAACGGCAGCATGGAGGAGGAGGCGGCCGAGAGCGGAGGGGGCGCCTCACAGCTCCACCAAGGGGGAGGCCCCGACCAGGCCGCGGCCTCCATCGCGGAGGACGACGACGAGGAAGGGCTGGAGGCCGCTGATGGCGACGCCATGGAGCTGGGCGAGGAGAACGGCGAGCGGGCGGGGGCCGGGGGCGGCCCCATGGAAGAGGAGGCGGGCGGCGAGGAGGAGGAAGAGGAGGAGGATGAGGATGAGAACGGAGACGACCAGGGTTTCCAAGAGGGGGAGGACGAGCTCGCAGACGAGGAGGACGCGGCCGGGGACGCCAACGGGCACGGGGAGCAGCAGCCGGCGCAGTCTCAGCCCCAGCAGCAGCCCCCGCCGCTCCTGCAGCCGCGCGGCGCCGCCAAGGAAGCCCCCAGCAAGAGCGCTGGCGGCGCCTCGGGGCCCCCGTCGGCGGCGGCCTCCGGTCCGGCGGGCCCCGCCAAGCAGCAGCAGCAGAAGAAAGCGGAAGGCGGCGGTGGCCGCCCCGGGGCTCAGGCCGCCGGGGGTGAGTGTGAGCAGCGAAGCGGTGTGGGGGGGTTTAAGGAGGCCGTTAATCCCCCTCCCCCTCGGGAAACCCCGTCGCGGGAGCGGTGGGGGGGGGGGGCAGGCAACGGGCTGGCGGTTTCCGGGGCACGCGCGGGAGGGCGTTCGTGGCCGGCGCATCCACCGCCTCCCCCCCCCTCCCCTTAGCACCGCGTGGTTCACTGCGGGGGGAGCGGGGGTCCCGTGAGGGGCCGTTGCGCGGGGCTGGCGGGGGAGGGGCTGAGGGCAGGGGGGGAGGGGGGAAGGGGCCGCTGCGCCGGCCCGCGGAGCGGGTGGTGTGGGGGGCGGAGGGGCCGCTGGGGCGCGCTGTGTTGTGCTGAGGAGCGCTCGGTGGCGTTACGTCATTTCCGGGCTGGGCGCTGCTCGGGATGGCGCTGGGAAGGCCTGGTACAATGGAGGCGGGAGGAGGAGGAATCCCTTCCCCGCGGGCAGCCGAGCGGCCCCGCGCCGGGCCTGCCGAGAGGAGGCGCAGTCGTGCGGGCCGATCCGTGTCCTTGCGGGCGGCTCGGAACGTCCTGCTCCCGGGGAAGGGGGGGAGCTGGGAGGTGCCGGCCTGGCGTCGCTGGAGGGATTTTTTTTGTCTGATTTTTGGTTTATTTTTTGAACTTCGCCGCTTGGGAGCGGTGTGTTTGGATCTTAACATCGAGCACTGCACCGGGGGTGCATGGTGTGCTGGCCGCTTGAGATGATTTAGCAGACAAGGTTTTTGGGTCCTCTGAGAAAATTCGAGATGCAGGTTTTTATCTTGGTACAAAGCAGAATCCTCTGTAGGGTAGCATTGTTTTTTTTTGTGCTGTAGATTCTTCAGCTTCCAAAGTTGGAACTGTCATGTAGCATTTTACTCCAGATTATGAAGAATGACTCTGTGTAATTAAGTCGTTGATTTTGTCGTAGGTGATGCTAAAGCAGAACAAAAACCTGGTGAGAAAAAGAGAGGAGTGAAGAGACCACGTGAAGACCATGGCCGTGGATATTTTGAGTACATTGAGGAAAATAAGTACAGCAGGTAAATAAACGTGATGCTGGGCAGCATTTTGTGAATGAGAAGAACAGAAATGCTTGTTTTAATAGTGTGAAAATGGGTGTAGCTTAATTATATTTTTTTTTCTTTTTGCTCAGGGCTAAGTCACCTCAACCACCTGTTGAAGAAGAAGATGAACATTTTGATGACACAGTGGTTTGTCTTGATACTTGTGAGTAAACACAGTTCTGCTTATGCTGTAAAGATGCAATGTTATGCTTTTAGTTTGAAAACAACACTTTCTGAAATGTGGGGTGAATACATGTTAATTTCCATGACCAAATAACTAAAAAAAAAAAAAAAGGTGTTTCCACCCATTTTCAATATAGAGGGATATAGGGGTCTTTAGCAGGAATAAGATTTGTGTTCCTGTTAAGTCTGTGATACCGTGTGGTTCTTTTAAAGAACTGTTAACCAAAACACCAACATGGCCAAATGCAGAGTGAGCCTAGAACACCCTAAAAACAGCTTGGGAAACTAATAACTTTTAACTTCAAAAAGTTTTGAGAGTTGGTGGTGTAGGTGACTACAACAGTACAGTTTGTGAAGTGAGCTTCCTGCATAACTTGCTGAGGCTCTGTTCATGTCTCCTGATAAATTTTAACAAAATCAGGTAAGGCCTCCTGAAAAATGACCATTTGTGCAACCTGGTAATTTGGGGCTGGGAGAGGGTGTGATCTGTGCAAATTGAGTGGCAGAGAATTGGTCAGGAGGGCATCAAAGTGGACAAGCACTTGCAAGCTCAGGTTTTTGAGGCAGATTATAAATGTTACTATTGTTGTGATACACCGTGACTGGGGCAAAGTTGACATATTCTCGGGTAAGTATAAGGACTTGGTGCAGTATTAAAAAACTTAAGTGATGCTTGAACTTGTTCAGTTCTTCAAACACTGTGGAAGGAGATCTTAAATTTTGGCATTTACTGACGTTATTCATTTCAGCCACATGAATTGCTGGATGTACCATCCTTGTCATTTTGGTAACTAAATCTCAATTTTCTAGCTGCTAACCTGACTGGTAGTCACCTTTGTGGAAGGTTCTGATTTTCCCAGTAACTGAGTAGTTCCTACTTTTTGTTATTTTTAGTTTCAAGTGTCAACAGGCTACTCGGGTATCAGAATCAAACAGCTTTAAGACTCAATTATGTAACAATTTGGTGCTCTCTATTATGGACCATAGGAATCCAGACATAAAAGAGGTTTAGTGCTCTTAAGGGCTGTGTCTTACAAGGAAGCTAAACTTCAAGTTCTGTTCTCACTTATCCTAAAAGCAACCTACATAGGTGGGTTTATTCTGCATGATTTTATCCGAATTTCCTGCAGTAAATGAAGTCAGAAGTACTAATGAAAGAACACTGGAGTCACTATTATTGTAGTTGCGACTGGGGATAGCTGTGTGCAAACACAAGATTCTCATGCGTGAGTTACCAGTAATACAAGGAAGGCTGTATTTCAGGGTGCTAGGGTGCCGTTGCACGTTTTATACTGGCAGAACAACTTGCTGCTCATTTTTGCTTTCGTGTAACAGTCAGATGGGCTTGAAGGTTCTTCTATGGATTCATTACTCTGGGATGTTCAAATGCTATCTCCTTCACCTTGTTACCATTTCGCATTGTCTTTTTGAAGATAACTAGAAGATAAATTTCAAAATTCAGTGTGCAGCCTGTAAAAGTTTCCACTTAAGTCCTTAGGGCAATAGGTGAATTTGTAGTGCAAATAGTGTTTCGTAGGTGAAGTAGGTTTTCTTGCCACATTCTGCACGCTTACCTTACCTGCACTTGGCTTAACTGACTTTAATTGGCTTAATCTAATTGGACTTGCTAATTGTCTATGTAAACCAAAACAGTTGTATTCCTATTTACCTCTCAGCCACTCTTAGGTTTGGGCATGAGGGGTAAGCAGGTTTTAAAGAAAAGGTGTCTAGCAAATGCAGAGCATGATGCAGGTCCATTTGCTGTGTATTGATGGAAATAGGTAACAGACAAAAAAGGTTCAAGTAGGTGAGGTGAAAGCCAGGTTTTCAAACAGATGATAAAAATAGATGAAATTTGGTGACAGAAGTGAAGATGGCAGCTTGAAAATTATTCTTGTTGGCTAGCTTTTCATAAGATTTTGGCTGACCTTCAGCCTGCAGCTCAGACTAGGCATGTGTTCAGTTGGTTTCCTGAAAGATGCTGAGCAGTTACTGGCAGTTTGTCTTGAAAATCACCTTTAATGCATAAAGTTGGACAACTGTACTTAATTTTGTAACGAGAGTAAACAATGATTTTTATTTTAACAGATAACTGTGACCTGCATTTTAAAATCTCAAGAGACCGCTTTAGTGCTTCCTCTCTGACCATGGAAAGCTTCGCTTTCCTTTGGGCTGGAGGGAGAGCCTCGTATGGAGTTTCTAAAGGCAAAGTGTGCTTTGAGATGAAGGTGAGTTAAACTGGTGTTTTATGGGAGATTGCTTCTTGCATGCTTAGATATGATTTTGTTTATTCTTTCAAGCTGAAACTAATCCAGGTGAACAGGATTTTCAGAAGGCTTTCTCTTAAGAGCCTGTAAAATGGTTCCTGATAAAAGATGGCTCAGTTTGGAAAACCTCTACTTTTAAGAACTTCCATTAAAAAAAAAAAAAGGCGCCTCGCAAGAATGTGTAACTCATTTTTGAAGCAAGAATTTCCTGCACCAACGCTTGCAGAGTTTTGGTACCCACTAGTCAGAAGTTAGCTTCTGCTTTCTGAAGATTACAGAACACTTGGCTTGGCTCTTTGTTTTTTCTTCAGGGATATAAATTATCCCAGCAGTCCTTTTATTCTGTTCTACCTAGCCTCTGAGTTTGACCTGCTCTAAGCAGATACGTGGGGCTAGGTGACCTCCTGGGGTCTGTTTCAACCTGAATGATTCTGACTTGTGTACACAATGAGTGTGAGTATTTGGCAGGTCCTTGTGTTTTGAGAGCAGGAGTTCACCTCAAGGGTAGGAATGGAAAAGAGCAGTCAGCCTCGTGAAAAAAGATTTCTCCCAAGTTGTTGACAAAAGAGTAACAGGAGGCACAAAGCTTGTTAAGTAAAAAAAAAAAAAAAAAAACAAACAAACAACCAAAAACACTGTTAAAGGCTTCTTTGCATTTGATTTGCCTGCTCTGTTCTCTTCAGTACTTTCAAATTTAACTGCTACCAGGAGGAGTGGGTAGTGATCCCATTCTCCATGTTCTTGCATCAAGTGATTCCTGTGTCTCTTGGTACCTCTAACTCAGGACAATAAAATTAAATTGATGCTGGTATTTACTGCCCTGTTCACTTTCAAATCAGTTTCACTTTGGCCTCCCCTGGCTCACACAGTTCTGGAAACTGGTAGGATGCCTATTAGTTACTTTAGTTTGGTGAAGTTTGTAAAAGCAGTTGGAAAACAGCTGGTTGCCTACAGATTCCAGTGCTTTTAGACAGGTTTATTTTGAATCTGGTTATGTTGTTTGGAAGCTGGCAAATCGCCCAGGAAGTTGTCTTACTGTGGCAGGGGACACAAGAGTGTAAGTTTCCCCAGTCTATATGCAGCAATATTTTTAATCCATTACCACATTTTATTGGCAAAGTAATTTATTGTTAATCCCAACTTCATGGTGATTAGTTAAAACAAAAACCAAGCCACTATCTTGTTTGTGACTTTAATACCATATCAAAAGGATCAAGGCTTTTTGGCCAGTGAAATGGACTGCTATCACTAAATGCTTGGAAGGTATATGGTGTCTTGCATCTTCATTGATCAGTCAGGAGATGTAACTATTTAGTCACTGGCTTGTGGTTTCACATACTTCACTGAAGCATGTTTTGTTTTTGCAGAAGGTGATTACTCGGACTTAGCAACGATTTAACCAAAGTGTAAAGGTTACAGATGTTACCTTTGTGTTTCCATCTCAGTTGTGTCTAATAAATATTGCATACCTTTTAATGAATAATTTAAAAATAGGTTACAGAAAAGATTCCTGTTAAACACCTGTATACAAAAGACATTGACATACACGAAGTGAGAGTTGGCTGGTCACTGAATGCAAGTGGAATGTTGCTTGGTAAGGCTTAAACATTTGACTCTTTCTATTGTTTGTTCTGTATGTGGTTGAAGTTTTAAGTCATTTTTTCTTCAACAGATGGGGAAAGCTTAGTAATTATAGCCCATGTGTTCTGAGAAATGGTCTTAACTTGGATCATTCACTGGACATGGTGTGGGAAAGCTTATTACTGGGACCAGATAAAGTCGTTAAGTATTCAGGTCTGAAAAGGCATTGAAGATCTGAGAGTTAATTCTTTCAGTGGTCAAGTACGAGCTGCTCAAAATGTTTCCTAAAGACCTGACAATATTAAGGATTTGTCTTTTCCATGTAGTGCCATAAATAGGAAGAGGGGGTCTTTCCCCCTTAATTTATTTTTCTTTTAAGGGTGGGACGTAGTATAAGATTGAACCAGTGAATTAAAATTTCTGGATAACCACAGTATCATTCTTTTTACCTGGATGGGAGAATCCTTATTTCGGAAAGTAGCTAGGAAGAAAGATTTAGATCTGTGGGAACAAATCATAAGTTATATTTATAGATAATATCTGCTGCTGAGAGATGTCTTTTTAGGAAATGTATGTTAATGGGTATGTTCTGACAGCAGCAGCAGCTTTCTTGTTAAGTTCCATCTGAGTCCTTGTGTTTGACACTTCTGTTAGCTTGTTCCTTGCAGCTTCATCCTCAGCTGTCGCATAGGCTGAAGGTCTGCTAAACTCCCTTTAAAATGGGAGGGGTAAGTGCTGCTGGAGACTAAAGTCAGAAAGCCTTTCTGACTAACTACGGTACAGGTATACTGCTGCATAATCAGGTCTTCAGTTTAAAAATACTTGCTCATGAATTTATCTGGCAGTTCAGCTTTGTGTCAACATGAATCTGGAGCTAGCAGCATTAAGGCTCTTAAAACTGGCATGGGGAAACACTGCTGTTCTATCTCAAGTGAGAGTATTCTTGAATATAAGAACCAGCTGTAGCTGGTTTGGGGGTCATAGCTTCTTGTAGCATTAATCAAAACATTATAAACAGTAGCTTACTTTGAAGTAGCTGTAAAATGATTTATTTCTAAATGGTTAGGTGAAAGTGCCTTTTTAAAATAAGTTTAAATTATATTTCTTCAGGTGAAGAAGAATTTTCTTATGGGTATTCTCTAAAAGGAATAAAGACATGCAACTGTGAGACTGAAGACTTTGGTGAGAAGTTTGATGAAAATGATGTGATTGGGTGTTTTGCTGTAAGTTTTCCCTTACATTTTCTTTTAATGAAAAACATCCTTGTGAGAGGCAGTAAACCAAATACAGAAAAACTTTGAGCAAGACAAGTTTTAACATAGGGAGGAGGTAGAAATAGCAGGTATTGCCAACAGTGACTGCTGTCAGTGTTTGATAATTGTGTATTCACAGACAGGTGTGAATGTGGGGTGGTGGTGGTGAACACAACACAGCAGATTTTAAATGAGAATATTGTTGATAGCAATTCATCCCAACAGAAAAAAATGTAGTTCCTTTATGATGTATTAGTGTTACAGAGGTTGAGTTAGAATTGCCAACATAGTGAAATGACAAATATGACTTTATAGAGCAAGGTGAGTAATTTTACCCAAACTAATGCTTTGTCTGAAAACCAGAATTTTGACGGTGATGAAGTGGAACTCTCGTATTCCAAGAATGGACAAGATCTTGGTGTTGCATTCAAAATAAGCAAGGAAGTTCTTGATGGGCGGCCACTCTTCCCACATGTTCTCTGCCATAACTGTGCAGTTGAGTTCAACTTTGGCCAGAAGGAGGAGCCTTACTTTCCTGTACCAGAAGAGTACACCTTCATCCAGAAGGTCCCCTTGGAGGATAGGGTCCGAGGACCAAAGGGACCTGAGCAAAAGAAAGACTGTGAGGTAGGTTTCTTGTTGATAGTATCAGGGCTGTGGAGATAGTACAACACTGACCTTTTTGTCTGGGAGCTTTAGTGCTTGGTATCCCCTGACTCCACCCCTCCAGTATCCCTGTTCCACCACCCCCAAGTTTCCATTAGGCTTGTTAGTCTAAGTTGCGTATTAAAGGAAACCTTTGAATCAGTATCTCAAGTATAGAATTTGTCATCATAGGTGGTGATGATGATTGGCTTGCCTGGAGCTGGCAAGACTACATGGGTTACCAAACATGCAGCAGCAAATCCTGGGAAATACAACATTCTTGGGACAAACACTATTATGGACAAAATGATGGTAAGTGATGACATTTTAGTTGTTGTATGTTAAAAGCTTGCTGTAAATCCAGGGTCTTTGGGGTTCTTCGTATCAAAAAAAAAAATAGGAACTAGCTACTGGTTAGCTAGTGACTGTTAAAGATGTTCTTTTATCTCACCGAGCTGTGAGCTCATACGTGGCACAGCAGGATTCTGAAGCATTCCTGGTGCTATGCAGGTCGATTTTTTATGACTGTTCAAGTGTTTCTTTTTAAAGCTAAATGTTCCGAGGACAGCGATACGATTGGGTAATGTTATGAGCATACCCTGGATTTAGGTGTATTGATTGACCTAGAGTCATTTATAAAGCTCTGTGTCTCACAGAGACTTAGGGAATTGCGGCTGAAAGTTTGTAGCTGTGGCTTAGAATTGAACAGTCATTGATTCTGTGGAGAAAGCATTTAGCAAAGAAAAATGTCATCCACGTGTCTCAGGGCTACATTAGTTAACTCTGGGAAATCTCTCTGCAGGTGGCAGGTTTTAAGCGGCAGATGGCAGACACTGGAAAACTTAACACACTGCTGCAGAGAGCTCCACAGTGTCTTGGAAAGTTCATTGAGATTGCAGCTCGTAAGAAGCGGAATTTCATTTTGGATCAGGTAGAAGCTTCAGTGAAAAATGGTTAAGGAAATCTTGTTATAGGCTGTAGTGCAGTAATTAAATGGGATTAAAGCTACATTGTTAATAGCTGTTGTTTCACTTACTGACTTACTACTCATTCAGGAGACACAAAGTTGAGACGCTATTTACAAATGCTTGTCTGAACTTCTGTGGATTTATGGGATGTGGGAGGAATAGTGTTTTAACACGTGGATATGAGCTCGTAACTTTGCATTATGCAGCATCTTTATGTCCAGTTATTTGTAAACTTCATTGCAAGCTCTTGTAGAGGTGAAGTCTATACACCATAAGTTGACTTCCTTAACTCTTACAATGACAGCTACGTGTAGTAAGTTACTGCATTTTTTTCAGACAAATGTGTCTGCAGCTGCGCAGAGGAGAAAAATGTGCCTGTTTGCAGGCTTCCAGCGCAAAGCAGTTGTTGTTTGCCCAAAAGATGAAGACTACAAGCAAAGAACACAAAAGAAGGCAGAGGTGGAGGGAAAAGATCTTCCAGAGCATGCAGTTCTCAAAATGAAAGGCATGGAACATAATCCTATACTGTGTTTTAGGATGCTGAGTATCTGTTTAAAGGATTAAGTAAACGTGAAGTCTAAAAAAAATCACTTTATCTTAAACACTTGTACTTAATCAAAACTGGAAGACTATTGTAACTTGTAGGACAACACTATATTGTGTTCCCTCTGCTGCAGTCCTTAACACTACTCAGTTATGCTGATATGCTTCATGCAGATGCACAAAGCTGTCTTGGCATAAAGTGCCCTATATAAGTGACATATTTGGCAGAAACTGGTACTCTGAGTGGAGGCTTATAAAAGAAAAAAAGATATAGGCAGAATGTTCTCAAGGTTTGGCACAGTACTGGCAACTCCATGAAGACCTGTTTATTTCTTTTGTCACTGTTACCTTTCTTAAATGCTCAAATTCTGTAATGTCCCTATGCTGAAGGAATGTGGGGGGAGGGAGGAAGAATGGGGGAAAGGTGATTACAGCTTTGACTGTACCTGAATGTAGATGCTGAATACTCAGTGTTTTTGCAATTATAGGGAACTTCACACTGCCAGAGGTAGCAGAATGTTTTGATGAAATAATCTATGTAGAGTTACAAAAAGAAGAAGCTCAGAAGCTTTTGGAACAGTACAAAGAAGAGAGTAAGAAGTCTCTTCCACCAGAAAAGAAACAGAACACTGGCTCAAAGAAGAACAAGAAAAGCAATAAAAATCAGTTTAATAGGGGTCAGAGAGGACGTGGAGGATTCAACATGCGGGGCAACTTCAGAGGAGGAGGTGAGCTTAGAAACAAGCCTGTAAAGTTTGGAGGCTGCTCCTGGGGGATGGTGGAGTATCTCCATTACAGTTGTTACGTGGTGGGAACCTTGGTTTTGACTTCAGCAAGTTCAGTCTATTAGCGCAAAGTTAATTGTCCAGCTTCAGAAGTGAAGGTTGGCAGGATCATGGATTATGCTGTTCGTGTAGCTTGAAGCCCAGCTTTGAGTTTTTATGTTAGGTTTGGCGTTTGTTTGTATCCCAGGCTATATGGGGAGTTATAGTACATGGTTAAATTGCTATTTGTGACTTAAATCTTTGCACTGAAATGTTTGCACTGCGTTTGGATGTCTTATTTCTATACCATTGTTATTTTGAACAGTAAATTTAATGTTAGAAATATTTCAGACCTAACAGTCACTTGATTGAAGCAACTTTCTCCCTGCAGTCCCTGGCAATCGTGGTGGATACAATAGGAGGGGAGGCAACATGCCTCAGCGAGGCGGTGGAGGTGGTGGTGGTGGCGGTGGCAGCAGTGGTGCGATTGGCTACCCGTATCCTCGTGGCCCTGTCTTTCCAAGCAGAGGTGGCTACTCAAACAGAGGAAACTATAACAGAGGTGGAATGCCCAACAGGGGAAACTACAACCAGGTGATGCTTTTGGGGGATTTCTGTGTGCCCAGAGCTCTCAGTGTTGTGTAAGGAGCTCTGATGCTGAAATGGGGGGTTCTATGTTGAAACTGTACCTCTCTCCTGTTAAAAGATAAAGGCTTTTAGGGCATGTGTGAAGGCTTGTGTTTGATTCTGCCCCCCACACTCTGATAGTAGTAATTGTTCTATGGCCTTCGGGTCAAGGTGTATCTTTACCAAGCACCTAGGGAAGTTCCTGGAAATAGCTCTGGAGAGTGTTAGGTTTTCGTGTCTGTTATCGACCACAGCTAGTAAAGACATGCTAACTGAGGTCTTAACTGATGTGGTATCAGTGGAATTATTTGAAAACATAATTTGGGTTGCTGCAGAGCCAGCAGATGGAGCCCAAGGTAGTAAAGAGGGCTCAGGTTTGTGTAATTGTGACAAACGGGGGAAATGCAGTATTTTATCTAGTAGTATCAATGTCCCCTTCTTGTTCCATGACTTGCATTTGAAGTTCTGTGGGCTGACTTTTCTGTTTTCAGTTGTGTGAACCGTATCCTTTTGTCTGCTCAGATAACACATCCCTGTAGCAACTACAGCATTTCCTAACTAAAAATAGGCAAGCTGTTGTATTTTTAGTTGTCCTGGTGCAGTTTAGCAACTGGAAATAGGGTGAGTCAGAACTGGATTAGCTATAGCTTTCCAGACCACTGGCAGTGAGTTTGAGCTGGCTTATTAATTCTGAGGTTCTTGCCCCACGTTTAAGGAGCAGCTGCTTGGTGGGTGAGGTAGTGTTTTTCAGGGGCTTTTTACTTTGCCTTATTTAAACCTAGGCCTGAGACTTCATACTTGAAAGGTTGATTCTGTATGGTACGTGATGTTCGGGTGGTAATAGAAAGACTGGTATTTGTACCCGTACAAAATAACCAGTTGTAGATGAAGTACTTAAAAACTCTTGTCCTCTTACAGAACTTCAGAGGAAGGGGAAATAATCGTGGCTACAAAAACCAATCTCAGGGCTACAACCAGTGGCAGCAGGGTGTAAGTAGTTTTAACTTTATCTTTCCACTGATTGTTAACTTGAATGTTCCAAAGTGATGTCTGAAATACTCAGATGCATAGTCAAAACTGGATAGCAAAATCTTCTAAGGCTAGGTAATACTGCTATAAATAGGTTTCTGTGCAAAACTTGGTCTGGTTTGATGGTCTTGATATATCAAATATCAGCTGTGGCTTATCGGTCTTAATGGCATGTAGTATTTGGCTTCACATTACTACAGTGAAGTGAGCTCTTAACTGCCTTCAGTTGTTCATGAACTTGCTGCTATTTGAGAGCACTTTAATCTGCTTGAGTTCCAGAAGAACTAGATGCTAAACACCTTTTGTTTTTCTGTAAGAAATGTAGTGTTTATGTGATTCCAGGTTAAAAGTAACTGTTTATCCCTTTATTGCAGCAATTCTGGGGTCAGAAGCCATGGAGTCAGCATTATCACCAAGGATATTATTGAATACCCAAATAAATGAACTGATACATATTTCTCCAAAACCTTCACAAGAAGTCGACTGTTTTCTTTAGTAGGCTAACTTTTTAAACATTCCACAAGAGGAAGTGCCTGCGGGTTCCTTTTTTAGAAGCTTTGTGGGTTGATTTTTTTTCTTTTCTTTTTTTTGTACATTTTTAATTGCAGTTTTAAAGTGATTCGTAAGAGAACCTCAGCATTGTGCACGATAAGAGAATGTGTCAGTATTTCAGGGTTCTACATTTTATCTGTAAAATGTGACTTTTTTTTTACCACAACAAAAGTAAAACGTTGCTTTGTACCTGGTGTCTTTTTATTAAAGAATTTTCTCCTTTTTCCCCATCCCCCAATTTCTAAGAAACAGTCGTGAGTCATGTCACAATACAATAGAAATGTTAGCAACCAGATTGGCACGGAGGCTCCTTGCTAGCCCTCCGCAACACCGTGAGATTATGTAAAGCTCTGAATTACACTCCACCATCCCTACAAAGCTGCTGGGTGGGGAGGGGTTGGAGCGGGAGGTCAAAGTTTCCGGCAATAACTAGGACTTTTTTGTAACACATAGAACTCTGTGAGATGCTGGGGGCAAAGAGGAAACCCGGGGCAAAGTAGTGAAGGTGGAGTGTATGTAGAAGCTCTTAAAGTTGTAAAACTTGGTTGCATTATTTGTGGAGGCTCAAACTTGTGAAGGTACAACACCATAATTTCTTTTCCATTTGTTCTGCATTTTGATTCTGAAAAGAAGCTGGCTTTGCCCATTTCTTATTAAACAAAACTTGTTGTAAATCCAGTTGTCTAATGGGATCTATATGAAGTTAGCTGTGTGTCTGTATAACTCTTTCCCCACAAAATACTGTATACCTAGTGTGCTTGTAGTAGTTACTCCACCATTTTGTAAGCTAATGAAACTGTGAGTCACCCATTTTCTATCTAATTTTTAATCATGTCAATTCTCAAATGGGTGTATCTCCTTAGCCTGCTGATTCCTTTTCTCTTTGAAGAAAGTGGGTGGAGAAAATTAACTCTAGACGTTTGTTTGCAATAAAATAAATTCATTTTACTCTTGTTTTGGGATTGTCGCCATCAAGGTCTAAAATCCCTTTAAGGCTATAAAGAGGAAGAGAATGTACAAAAGCAATTATGTTGGACAGTTTTGAACTCATTACTGTGTACATGCTGAAATACTTGTGTTTCTTTAAAAGTCTAAATGGTGGTTGCTCTGTTAGAGATCTATCACATGTATAATCTCACAGTTTAACATGGTTATATGTATAGGGCAAAAGTCTTTGAGTTGCACTTGCATCATGTAAATCCATTTAACCTATTTATTGTAAAATAGACTGTAGGGAAGGAGCAGGGGGAGAAATGGGACAGGGGGGCAGGACAGGAGGAGTGTCCTGGGGAAGGAATCCTGGAATTGAACAGAGAGCTTCCGTTTGGTTTAAACGCTATTTTGTTGAGATTTCTGCTTTTGTAAACTTGCAGTGGTAGTGCTGGCTGCAGCTTTCTTGCATTCTAATGCTGTGAGGTGGGGAGAGGCATGTCCGTCCCGAGTCGGATTCTGGGTATGTGTGTGAACACGTGTCGCTGCCAGCACCTGGGGTTTGCCTTGCAGAGGCTGACCCAGCAGCAGCCTGGGCCCAGAGCCAGTGTAGCCTGCTTGAAACCTCTCTCAAATGTTAGTCCGTTCCTAGTAGTCTTCAGAAGTAAAGGTGCACTTGTGTTGCTCTTCTAGCTTTTATAGCAGATGGCATTTGCATATTGACATTAAACAGTAACAGCACCACCTCCTTGTTAATACTGCTTTAAATCATCCCTTTACTTTGAGTGAGAACAATGTAAAGTGTCTTTAAAGAAACGCTATTTCATGACTTAGAAATGTTGGGAATTGAAACCCAAACCTGTTTTGCTGAAATGGAATTTTATTTAGACTTGCAAAAGAAGTTTAGTGTAATTAAAAGTCCATTTCCCTTCTACCCTCACAAGAACTAACACTTTGTATGGAGTGCTGATCCTTTGCTTATTTTGGTACTCTATAAAATTATATAGTCTTAAACTGAAATATAAGAGCATACACTTGCTATGTGGTCGTAAAGCCTGTATTTTAATTCAAAAGTCTGGGATGTTTTGTTTTCAGCTCTTTATGGTGTGTAAAAGAAAAAAGCCACACATGAGAGGAAGCACGCTTGGGAGAGGAGGATCTGTTTATACTAAGATACTCCTGAGTGAAAGAGTTGGGTTTGATAAGCTCAGCACTATGTGCTAACTGCACGAGTCTAAAAGCTCCCCCATCCCTTGTGGTGGAGCAGAAGCCAGCCCTTGCATGAGGCTGGATCTTTGCCTGGGAGGGAGCCCCCCATCAGTGTGTCTTCCGATCATTCCTAGGGAAGGGATTTATCGGTATGTGTGTGGAGGACTTAGACAGAAAAGCCATTACCTAGAAAAAACACTTTATGTGTTTGCAGTTTGTGACTAAAGAGGTGATAGCAAGCCTAGTTGATGGCTACAACAAGGTGAGGAGTGCGCAGCTGTACATTACCAACAGGAGAGGGCTGAGCTGTGTGTTGGGTCACTTCCCGCAGTGTATGAGGACTTGCTGACATGAGGAAAAGTGCCTGTATTGCCGGCAGGGGTGGGTGGGCACTCGTGATGTACAATATGGGGTTTGGGTTTGTGTTCAGTGGGGCTTACTCCTCTTTTTGTGCAGTACAATCTGGGTTTTCTTTCTTTTACTGAAGGTTTAGAGTGGGTCTGCATTATTTGTAGAGATCCTGCCCAATTTCTCTGATGGTAGAATGGATAAAACCCCAGCCCCTGCTCTAGCCATGCCATGTGCCGTCAGTGCCAATTGCACAGAAAAAGCTGCTCTGTGGTGCAAGCCACTAGTTTTTAAACCTTTACAATGCTCTTGAGCAATGTTTTTAATAGAAATAGGTGATGAAATCATCTCAGGATTTGGAGGTTTCCTTGTTCATGGTCTTTTGGAAAACTAGGTCAGTGCTTTCTAAAAGTCCCAACCACAAGCTAAGCCACAAGCAATCCAGCTGCGTTACAGAGAGATGGGAGGTTCTTCAGTGCTGCTGCAGATGTTCAGCTGCCGGGGGTTGGACTCTCCAAAGCAAAGCAGTGTGCATGTACTGTAGTTACGAGCTAGTAAGGTGGGAGTAAGTACAGCTGGAGCCATCCAGTCAGAAGCGCTGCAGAGGATGGGGAGAGCACTGGGATGTCAGGAAAGGCTGCTGAGAGGAAATTGAGAGCAGCAGCTTTGTGACTGATGTTAACAAATGGACCGTGATGCAGATAGAGCAGTGCCTCAGCCCCGCATAGGTTGAGGGGAGCAGAAGGCCTCACCTTGGTGTTACAGCAGGTTTGCCATCAGCGTGTGCAGCCTTTCCCCTTGCTTGGAGGCACGAGCTGCCTCCAGTGCAGCCAGCCTTTCCTAGGCTCGCTGTTGCAGGGAAGGGGCTGAAATCAGGACTTGGCCAGTAACTAACCTGGATGTGGCTCTTGCTTCGGTTCATCTCTGCCAGAGCACTGGGAGCAGCAGGAGGATTCAGCAATGAGTCAGTTGCTGTGTAAACTTGGCTGTAACTTCAAATGACGCTAAATGCTTAACACATTGTCAACATCAGAAGAGAAAAACAACAGGAAAATGTAAAAAACCTAGTAATTACTCACACAGGTGACTTTATAGACAACGGTTACTTCAGAGCAAGGTTTTCACTTTTCTGGTTACTGCAGAGAAATATGGTCCTAGAGGTTACTGAAATCAAAACGGGGGGTAAGACAGCTCAAATAGGTTTTCCCTCTAACCTTTTCATGCTCAAACACTGTTTATGACAGTGGTTGGGAGCAGATGCAGTTCACACTGATGATTCTGGGATCTGCTGCCTGGTTAGCATGCAAGCACTGTAAAGGGTACTCGTTCCTGTGAGCATTAATTCTCCCTTCGCCAGGATCAGGCGGCTGCTAGGACACCGCTGACAACTGATGTGGCATAAAAATGCAAGTGCGTGGTTCGTGGTCTGCGTGCGGCCTCTGTTCATCTTCCATTCACCTTTGTTAACACCGCTGCCTCTCTGTGCTCTGGAGGAGTCTGGTTCTATGAGAAACTTGTTTGCTGTGGAGGAGAGATGCGTGCTGGGGAGGAGCACTGGTGGAGCACGAGCTCTGGCACTGTGCTGGTGCCTCCAACAGTTGCAAAATACAAAGGCCCAGAATAGCACTGAAGATCTCTCTGGACGTAAATGCATGCTTAAAATACCAGGGGTTGTTTACACAGCGAGAGACACACACACAGAAGGCTGGATTCTCCTCTTGAGTCTCCATGTAACAGACTCAGATGCAGGCTACAGCTGTGCTCAGGCCCTTGCTGGACTTTCAGCTTTGTGGAGCTGTTGAGCAAGTAGGTAAGACAAACCCCTGTATTATGAAAGGGCCTTTGTTTTTGTGGTAAGCAGGTAGCAAGAGACGGGGGAGAGGAAATGAGCAAGCCCCAGTCGAGGGATTTACTGCAATATTGCTTTTTTCTCAAAGAAACACCCCTCGGGATTGCTCCCATGGTGCTGAGAAACAGGATTTGGAAACAGGTGAGCTAGCAGAGGCGAGCCCCCATGCAGCACGGTGTGCAGAGAGCAGAGGCACGTACCCAGAGCCTGGCACCTCCGCACTGTGCACGCTGGGTCTCCTCTTCTTCATGCTCCCCGCTGCTGTCAGAGCGCCTGGGGTGCTGTGGGGGCTCAGCCCTGCATGGGAGCGCAGCAGCGGGGGTGTGAATTACTGACAGCAGGACGGGGTGTTCTGTGTGGGTGATCCCCGCAGCACACTGCGCTGCCTCTGCCTGCGGCTTTACAGATGCTCTGTCTCTCAGCAGAATCACAGCAATGGTGTTTGGGAGGCCCGCTGGAGATGCAGCCCCTCCTGTTCACAGCAGGACTGGTGCTAACACTCAGCGCATGCAGCTAGCTGAAGCCTAAAACCCTCAGGGGTGGAAACTACATGACCCCTCTGGGCACCTGTTCCAGCGCTGTCCTGCCCTCGCTGTAACACAGTGTGTCCTGCTCGCTGGCCCCAAGCTCCCGAGAGCGTTTGTGGCCGTTGCCCCTGCTGCATCAGCTGGAGCTATCAAGATGTGTTTGCTCCATCTTCGTAACTGTCCTGAGGTAACATTAGGCCATTATTAGGTGACCCCGCAGCCTGCTCTCCTCAGATCCAGTCCAGTCCTTCCAGCTGTTTTCCAGTGGGTCATATGCTGGAGCTCCCTGAACACCTCAGGAGCCCTCCACTGGAGCCTCTATGGTTTTTCAACATCCCTGTTGACCAAGAGGCCCAAATCAGGACCGCAACATTGGACACGCTCCCTCAGCCGTGTCACATACCGGGGGATAAGTGCATCCCTTGATCTGTTGGACCGGTACTTCCTGATGGAACCCAGGCTGCGGTTTGCCTTGTTTGCAGCAAGAATGCTCCCCTGGCTCATGTTCAACTTGGCGTCCACTGTACATCCCCTCCTTCAGAGCAGGGCGGCTGTTCAGCTAGCTGCTTCCCAGCCTCTAGTGGACACGTATGAAGCAGCTATGCTGTAGTAATAATAATTGATAACCAATTACCTTGTTAAATAGCATCTCAAAAAGAAACATTAGTTGTAAATTACTTGTGCAAACTAAGTATCTTGTGTATTCTCCCTGTTTGCTTTGAGAGACCTTGGAGAAAGTACTGTGATAGTGCAGTAAGAACTCTTTCAGCACTTAACATAGCAGAGAATGTAGCAATTAAATCTCACAGCATGGACATTCCCTCACAGACCTAGGACATTCCCTCAGTCTCACCTTCATGTGAACTTGCTTGCCCCTTCTTTACAAAGAGAACTATCTATCTATCATCTATCTACCTTATCTCCTGCGTGGAGCTGGGGCCACCAAGCACCACAGTGGCTGCCGGTGCTCAAGCCCACTGGTGGGCTCCCGTTCTGGCTGCGGTAGGAGCTGCAGCTCTGAGAGAGGAGGCTGTGTAAGGAACTGCAGTGCTGTGGGCAGCAGGGCAGCACGCTGCACCCAGCCC